GCCCATAGGGGCGCTAGGGGCGCCGCCCCACCTCTTCCCACATACAAAAAAAAAAATTAAAATAAATATTAAATTGAAAAATAAATATTTCAAAAATATATATATTTCAAAAATATATATATTTTATATTTTTAATTTTTAATGAACAAGGTAAATATNCTAAAATATCGATGTGTTCAAATGCTCTTCAAAACACAACTGAAAGTCCATGAAACTTGTCTTTCTGTATTTGTGAATGAAGCGCCATCTCCTGGTTAAAACCTGAAATTGAAAATCTGGCAACGCCCTCTTGGAAAATAGTGGGAGGGCTTAACATTCCTCTATACTGGTTTTAGGCAGGTCGTAAGCAGGAAGCTGTAAGCTGGAGTCTGAAATGAAGTGCTACATCTGTATCTGACAAACTTCTGAAGGTTTTTGAGAAGAGAGGAGGACAGATGGACCAGCGTCTGAACTGTATTATGTCAAACATGACTCAAGTAAGAATTAATTTTAAGAAAATTATACATCGAGTCAATAGTGTACACATTTCATTGAGCAAAATAGATTCTTTCTTTTCTTATTCCCCTTCACTTAGGTTGATGATGTCGATTTAGGGCGGGATTGTCTTCTCAAGGGGCTGTGTGTGTACCTCAATGAGAGAGTTTGTGGTCAGTAAAAGTAATATTTGACCTTTTGATTTTTTTGTTGGGCGTTAAAATATGTATTTATTGAAACACCACATAGTATATAGCCTAAAGTATGTGAACATCCCTGTTTTTTGTTTAATAGCCAGACTACACTGAAAAGCTAGAGGGCTTTTAATTTAAAACGGATACAGGAAATGAAACATTTTTTATCAGGTCAGACAGGAGTATATCAGATAACAAGGAGGCTTAAAAGTACAGAAATCTGACAAAATGTACTTGTTAAACACAGGGACTTAGTAATGGGTATATATATGTATTGATTTGTTAGATCTCACTCTGTTCCTTTTGTGACTGTGCGCTCTGCAGGCAGAAGATGAAGACGTCATTCTGCGGTCCATTCAGGGGATTACAGTGGGACTTTATGTTGTCAAACACAATTCCACCATGAGACCAGAGGACAGATGAGACCAGAGGACAGATGAGACCAGAGGAGAGATTGTCCTGGAAGGCCAACAGGTACTAACTGATGTGGACAACAATGCATTAGCTGCTACCATGCTGTTTGGACTAATGTATGCAATGAACCTGAACGACCCCCCTAAACTGAAGTGCACGTTCGAAGTGCTCCAGCAAATGTTAATGGAGCTAGACGGCAACATGCTCTCCAAGAAAGCCCAAGCGTTTAAAAACAAACTATTTGAGTGAGCTGTTGCCATGGACCATTGTGCACTTTTACAGCATTCATACTGGACTTTCATCGATACAACTGTCTTGCACTTCCTTTGCTCATGCTTTTTGCTTGATTTGCATGTTTCAGAAATGTGGGTTTTTCCTGGGGTCATGTGTTTTCAGAATGTACCACTTGTCATGTGTTTCAGAATGTACTAACTTCAAAATGTCAGTTCTTGTTTTTATTTGTAATACTTTCTTTAGTGCATATGTGGTGAGAAACCAGGCCATTATTAAACTTCCATGTATTTTTCCAAAGCAATGCCATTGCTTTTTTGTATTAAAGTGCCCTTTCATATTAGCAGGTTACTATTTAAATAATGGATTTGCAAGAACATTTCCTTTTTTCGGCTAGGCGTTGACATTTTCTGTTAATTGTTTACTATGAATGAGTTACAAAAATAAGCCTTTCTTTGCCATTTGGCACAATAAACCTTTATTTTGGTCGGGAGAATAGTTTCCTTTAAGCTTCCTTGCTGTGTTCCAACACAATAATGTAAATGTACATGCATCACAAACATTTTCTATTTCTTCTATTTCTTTATTTTCAATGTATTTGTTAATTCTCCTGGGGCTGCATGATGGAGAAACCAAAAGCTCATCTGGATGTGTGGTGGTTGTTAATATTGTTTTATCTTTTGAGAAAAATACATGAATGTTGTTCAAAGAAATGTGTTTGTCTTTATTGGCTATTTGTTTTTAAATGTTATGATAAATGCTGTAGACATAAGAGATTAGGATGGATCCTGTTGAAGAATGTACGACATGCCTCTATTCACATGAAATAAATAATCTTATGTACCCCTTGAGCACTAGGTAGATTAAACAGAAAACTATAGCATGTAGTTTAAACAAAACATTAATGTGGCTTTAACAGGTACAAATGAAATATACTGAGTATATTAAAAGCCTAAAATGAACATAAAAAGTCATGTTGGTTAAACATAGGGTAAATGATTATACCTTATATTAAAGGAAATATTCACATTAACATAACAATTTCATGTTTATTTGACATAATATAGTTGTGTGTCTCTAACATAATGGAATAGTTTTGAGTACACATGATTTTAATATGTGCAACCAATCTCCATGTTTTTTATTACTTAAGTCCAACAGACTTTTTACAGTGAAGCTTAAATAAAGAAATCATGTTGCTTTAACAGGTACAAGTTAAATATACTGAGCATATTAAAAGCCTAAAATGAACATAAAAAAGTCATGTTGGTTAAACATAGGGTAAATGAATATACCTATATTAAAGGAAATATTCAAATGAACATAACAATTTCATGTTTCTTTGACATAACATAGTTGTTTGTCTTTAACATAATGGAATAGTTTTGAGTACACATGTTTTTAATGTGTGCAACCGGTTTCCATATTAAAATCATGTTAATCCAACGGCCTTTTTTTTCAGTGTAGGCTCTAACCTGACTCCTGAAATATATCCTTTTTTGTAGACCTCATATTCAATGAAAATCAATGTCTACCTCACAAACATTTCACCCACAAATCTATCAACACCTCTGCTTGACTAAACCTGTGTTTTAAACCCTGGCAATTCCTGACATTTTCACACACCACATGCAGGCAGAATATCAAATGAACTGTAGATAGCCTACATACATTGATCACATTGCGGGCTCCTCGGCTCTCACATGTTTGTCTTTGCAGTGTGAACAGACTAAGCCCCTCTACTCAGCTGTCATAATTTGTTAACGAGTCTTTTCAGGGGGGGAAAAAAGAAAAAGAGAAGACAGAAAAAAAGAAAAGCAGGCTCTTCACAAGTGACTGAAAGCAGAGGTCCATCCAGAGAGGGAACCCAGGGGCGACATCAGACCGATTTCAGACCAGCCCGTGATGGCATCTCTGTATATTTTAATATTAATGACCCCGGCCGCAAAGCCGCCTCTAAGCCTCCAACAGGTGCCCCTGCCCCACTCAAGTCTGAAAAACCGGGATCATTCAACATCCAGCTATCCAGCAGCCGCAGCAGCACCGCGCAATACAGAGTGCACATGAGAAGGATGCAGGCGGAGAGGAGGGGGAAAGGACATTAAAAAGTGGACGTGGAGTTAGAGAGTCAGACATCTCTTGCAAATACGTTTTTTGAGTCACTTTCCCCTGCTGAAACACGGGTCGATATTTCCCCCCTCCCCTTGAGAAAGAGATTGACTTTTGTTTGGAGTTTGTGAGAAGTGGGAATCAGAAGCGGGACAATGGGACTCCCCACGGTGAGAGGCTGAGAGGAGCCATCTCAAATCAGTCAGCCAGAGGACTGACTAATCCGTCCATTGTCCCTCCCCAGCCACCGGCCGCACATCAACACATTCGCCCCCCATTGTCCCCCACCCTCATGCAGCGGGATTTGCTCTCCCCAACAGCCAGTTTTGTCCACGGCAGTTCGAGCGGAAGTTTCTCACTGACAATTTGCCCCAAATAGATTTGTCAGAGCGTCCAACTGCACCGCACCGACTTGTGGGTTTCTGGGTTTGGGTTCTGTTTTTTTTTTTTTTTTGGGGAGGGCTCTCGCACGGTGAGGCGTGTGTGTGAGTGTGCACGAGTATGCATGTCCGTGTGCAGAGGTGTGTCTGGGTGCAGATTAGTGGGAGAGATGGTGGGACTGGAGTCACCTCACTGGGTTCACTGTAATTACTAAGAACATATGACGCTTGATGAGTAAACTCCTCTCATGCAACACTGACATTGTGACACATTAAACACCGGGGCCACCAGCAGTGAAATTATTTATATCCTTCATTTGGGTAAAAATAATAAAATCACTATTAAAAAAACAAGTGTGTCAGTTACATTACATTAAGCTGACGTTTTTATCCAAAGCGATTTACAATTACCAATTACAGGGACATTCTCCCTGGAGTAACTAAGGGCTAAGTGCCTTACTCAAGGGCACACTAGTGGTGGTGTTCCAGGCGGGATTTGAACTCACAACCTTCCAACCACCACAACACTAGCTCAGGGAAATACTGAAAGTGGCACATCCAGTTTACTTGTGTTTGATATTTATGATGTGGATAATGTTATATAATATATTTAGATTATTATTAGTCATGCTTCGTGGATAATCATTTGTGTTGTTGTATATTAATCTGATGTTATTTTTCTGAAGTAGTTGAGTTATTTTTGGGTTTATAACCATTCAGAAAATATTTAGAAGAGCTCTGGGACAAAAGCGACACCTATGCTTGTTTTATCCAATTATTTTTGCCCAAACCCCTAAAAAAATAAGAATAAATCAAAAAACAATCCTTACATTTTAGATCCAAAAATGTTTAAGTCTGCTTACTTTGTGAGTCAAGGTGAATCCACCAAGGCATACTGCTCTCCGCTGAGTCTTAAGTTCATCAAATAAAACAAAGATTAAGACTATTAAAATACATCATGAAGACAGATCAGTCTTAATGTTTTCCAGATATATTTCCATGTAGGCTGGTTATACTGGTTCCCTTGTAGAAAAACATCATTGCATTGTTGGGATCTGGCTTGCAAATAAAAGCTTTACAATGATCACTTTGATGTTTCTATATAAAGTTAAATGCTTAGTAGGTCTCACGGGAGAGCAGTCACAATACTGGATCCTGATTGGCTGAATTCCCTGCTCTGTCTGATTGTCAGGATCAGAGCAATTACTGGATTAAGGGACTCAAGTCAAGATCCCACCCAGGTCTGAAACACTGACAGCATAAAGTAAAATGGGTTAATTAACTACTTTACATTGTCACTCATGTCAAATTAATCAAGTTGAACCACATCATCTCTAAATATATTTTTGATCACTTGTAAATCAAGAAGTCAGGCCCCTTTAAATGTTGAAAAGGCATCCGGACAGGTAAATGCATCATTAATGACTCCTGTTGAAGAACTGTCCATGGTGCTGAAATCAGGCTGCATAATGTTTTACTTATCTGGAAGTTTTTTGTAAATTAATTTTTAAGCCATCAAATAATTAAAACATGTAGGAGATATTTTACTGTTATTCTGCTAAATAAGCCTGCATGGCACACTCTCTGGCTACCTGTCATCATAACCGAGCTGAGCTAAGAGAATGAATCTCAGTTAAGATAATCATCTCCTGAGCTAAACACCATGCAGTGTCTGCAGGCTTTAAGATGATCTGCCTGGTCAGTTTTAAGGGATGCTTGGCTGCGTGGATCTTTACCCGGCTTGAATTCTCCCCATTATTTGCTCTCTGAAGCTTTGTGACTTCTCCCTAAAGCCAATTGGTTCACGGCTGGTCGGTCAGGGGCCTGCAAAGTGATAGCAGGGCATAAAAAGATGGTCAAACTCTGGCCTGCAGGCGGTGACTGTCTATAGGAATGGCATTCAGAATATAAACTGTAAATATCAAAACCTGAGATTTTAATCACCTTTACTGCATATGGAAGAGTGTTGTTATAATATAGTTTCGCACAATTAAAAGGCAATGCTGAGCTGGAAAAAATATATATTAACAGGTGTGTAAAGTATGCTAACAGCATGCTATTTACAGCAGGGCTTTAAGAGAAAGGGTGTGTTCTCATTGTCCAAAAACCATAAAGGGTTTTAACACATTCAGAGCAGACGTATTGTGTTGTGTTGACTTCTATTGGACTCTCACTCGTTTTCTCGTTGTTTAAGTCTCTCCTATAGTATGTCAAGTATCCGCATACTGATGCTGAGCTCCCGAAAAAACAGATACACAATCCACTGGTCCCTTTGTTAGCGTCATTTCATTGACTGTCGGAGCAGAAGAGAGTCACTAATACAAAAAAAGTGAAAGAAGGCAACCCCGGCAACCATGATGTTGGTTATATTTGTGTAAAGGCTATCAGTGAATGAGGAGGATTAGGACGAGTTAAGGAGATTATGTCACACATTCACTATTCACCCCACCCCGGCAGCCACCCACACACACATGCGCACACACTTAAATATAACTGAAAATGTTATTGATCCGTCATACTGGAAACATGCAGTCTTTAAATTAGCACACGGTAATTGTTTATTAGTAGGTGAAGTTTTTCATTTCGTTATTAAATCACCAAGGAAACACGTGGTCTTTTCAAATGATTTGAATCCTTTTTGAAAAATGGTCGGGAAATAGTGCCTAATAAGGTGTATTGTAGCCTTTATTGTGTGGACTTTTTATAGGAAGTAAAAAAACACAACATGTGGCTTTCAGTGTGCCTGCAGCAAAATCAAAGGAATATTATAGAGATTTCTCCTAAGGCTTGTTAGTCTCCAGCCTCGGCTGCTCAGCTAAAGGCTGAAAGAAACAACAATGGCTGATTGCAATTAACTACGCCTCTCCGCCTCGCCCCTGTCCGCTTAAATCGACACTTTGTGAGTCCATATGGCCTTTAGTGTACCGTGGGAATGAACACAATTAAAAACAGAATATGGATTTCTGGAGTTACCCGGCGAAAATGCAGCAAGCTGTCAAGGTCAGGGTGTCAGTGCGCGAGGCCGTGCAGCCTCCGGACAACCGGGCACGGGTGATGCACATTTAGCCCGTTTACCCACCAGTTAGACACAGTTAGCGGATTAGGTAATTAATTTAAAGCCATTAAGCCAACAAAGATTAAAAGGAATAAATAATAGTATCGAATTATTACTGTTATTTTTATTTGGATTGTTGATTATAAAAGGGGAAGTTCTGCACAATATTTGATGTTTTGTTTTACTTGTGTTTGTTTTAAAATGAGAAAACGTGTGAAGAAAAACCGTGCAGGTCGGTTGTTACTGCAGAAGAGAAGTCAAATGGAAGAACAATATTAGAGAGTGTACCAATAAGGTATAGTGTTATAAAAACATTTTTCTTTAAAACTAAGATTGAAACATCTCACATCAAAGTGTTCAGGGCAGTGCAATGTAAAGTGTTTATGAATGTGTATACAAAAATGTACACTAATTTGAAACTTTAAGCGAATAAAAACATTGTTTTTGTTATCACCACTTCTAAAGAGAAGAGTATTTAAATATTTGTATTTGTATATTTTACGTTTTGTCTTTCTTATAAGCCATAACGTTTAAAATGCAGGGGTGAGAGTGGAAGTCACTTGGTTTTATGAATGGATTGTTTTTGTTTTTTAAAAAGGTGTCTTTCATGCAAAAAGGCATGTCTGTATATTAAAGTCCTACTAACGAGCTCTTACCTCAGATTGTACACGTCAATCAATGGCCAGTCTTTGAATGGACACTTGCAAATGAGCCAAAAAACAGGCTAGTTAAAACACGTGCAACAGGTTGAAAAACACTGACATCAGTGAAGCTCAAAATGACTTAAATACAAACAATTAAGAAAGGAAACTCAGCTAGTACTTGCCACCTTAATAATAAAACAAAATGTTGTTTTATTCTTTCTGATGATAGATAATAAAGCACATGTTCAATAAATCTCGACTGATCAGTGCCACACGCACTTATTGTTCATTCTTAACTGCGTAACCCCCCTGTATAAAACAACCTCTTATCCGGTTACTCTAAGAATCGTAAAGCCTGCATTCGTCTTCTATTTATTTAAAAAATATTGTAGTGGTCATTAAAAAGTGATAAGATCATTTAAGGTTTTTTTTGTCAAAAGTGCAGCCTATAATTAATGCATGTTAAACTGAAACAAGTCTAAATGTTGTAGAAAACAGGCGTGCAACACGTGTTTTTTGTTTGCAATGCCTCTTGATCAATGAGCAAGGCACTTCCCATCACTTGCACACACATTCACACGATCCCTCACACACACACACACACACACCCTCCCTCACACACCAGTGACGTCAGGCTGGAGTTTGGAGTAGAAAGCCAAGTGGATGAAGGAAGTGGAGATCTCCACCCTCCAGCCTCCAGCCTCCAGCCTCCCCCTGACACTTCTCATAAATATTACCGAGGCTTATTCGAGGAACTCGCACCACTAAGTCACATCGTGTCGTGGTTTTAACAAGCTTTTACCTGTCAGAATATCCGAAATCAAGATTTGTTTCTGCTTTCACACCGGTGTTGTGCTCCAGGCTGCGTTTCTCCAAATCCAACTTTATGCATCGGCTCTCGCTCGCAGATCTGGAGGGCTGCCGCCGTGAACAGGTCGCTGCAGTCCGGGGGACCCTGCGTATCAGAGGCAAAGATTGACCGAAACAATGTTCAACCGTGGGTCATAATTCTGGCTCTTCGACCGGAGATCTACTCTGTCAAGTTTGGCAACTCGGGACATAGACTTGCCGATCTCATCGCCGCTGGCAAAGACTTACAGGAAAGTGCTGCGGTTTCACGAGTTTTTTTTGGCAGCAACAACAAGAAGAGAACGAGGACATTTTTCATTCTAAACTTTATTATTAAATCGAGTGTCCATGATGAGCAAACCCGCAGGCTCAACAAGTGGCTGCCTGGATATTCTGAATGTCAAATCAAGTAAGTGTTCCTGACGCTTGTGCAGAATATTGAGTAGCCCGGTGTGTTAGAATAAGTGCTCTATAATGGGACTTACTTTCACATGGAGTGTTAAACATGAACATGAAGCTGCTGCACGGTTATGTTATCAGGGATTCACTGCAATAATTCAGTCAGTTCATTCATTGTGATCGTAGTGAAATGTGAGTGGAGTTCCGTGGGAAATCTTCAGAGTATACACTGTTTTGCATGAGCGATAATTAAAGCGGCATCACTCTGACATATTTTCAAAAATATATAGTGTTTTGTAAAGTTGATCACGTTTTCAAAAGAAAATATTAAACTGTAGGCATGCTCCGAATATTCCTCTAACGTGCTGCCACTTGTTGCCTGTAATTTCACTGTCAGTAACTACTATAAAAGAGTAATAATGCAAAAAACAGAAAGATATTTAATGAACATATGATAATACTTTTATAAGAGATTTATTTATTTTACTGCGTTGCTGTTTTAAACAAATAAATAAATAACCCTTACCTGTCTTTAGGTCTGCGTCCGCGCTTTTCTGTACTACTGTGATAAAACAAAAACAACAATAATTGAAAACTTCATTTATATATAAATCCTGAATGTCTTCGGTATATTAAATACAATTTAGTATTTTTCTTGTAAGATTTTAGATGCTTAAAGGTTTATTACAAGAACCTTAACATGCATTTGTGTTTATGTTAGGCCTCCTGGATTTTCAATGAATCCAAATTAAACCTCAATAATAATGCAGACATCTTTGTTATTATTTTTTCTAAAAGAAAGCAATTTATATTATTTTAACATTTGCCTGTCTCTTCCAGTATCGCTTCCTTGTCTACATGTATTCAAGCAAAACTGCTGATTTAGCTTTTTAATCCTTAGAAGCTTAAATGTTTAATTTGCTAATAATAACCATTACATTTTAGATTACAACAAAACTAGGAAAATCCAACATTACAAATACTGTCATTCAAGTTCATACTCACATTATGGGTGGTCAGAAATGTCCTGCACTCAGTAAAAGTTTATTTCCACTTATTTTAGCAAGTTTTCTTCTACATTAATAGAATATGCCATATATCTTCAAGCAATTACTGCACACAATGGAGACGAATTGGACTCCCACAGCGGGAAGTTAAATACATTTCACCAATTCACAACAAAATTGTGCGTCATTTTATTTAATTGACTCTCTTCAAACTAGTTTTATATTTTGCTGGGCTCGGAATTTCGCCAAATTTCCTTCGTAAATATGTACTCTTTAAACTTTTATTTTAGGAGTTTGCAAACTAACTAACGAGTTGCATAGGATTTGGATATTTTAATGATGTTAATAAGTAATTGACTCCAATAAGTACAGTCAACATTTCTATTTTTTTTAATTTGAAAATCGAGAATCTACTAGGCCTACAGACAAAGGTAGACATAACTTATTATAGTGCAGGTTGATTTTCTGATGAGATGACTTTCAACAGGCCAACTCTATAGAAACCCTTCCCAGGCATAAATGCTACATAAAAAGTAGCCTCTCTCTATCTTACGGCAATTACACGGCTGTGGCCAGCAGTTAAATAGCCTACATGGCCTTCTGGTTCTCCATTATCTGGCTATTGAAGCCCTATAACTCTCCTCCTGAAGTCATTGTTTTTGCAGCTCAGTAGTTATTCCCATGCTACCCTTTTTGACGGGTCACTGGTGAATCAATGAGCAGGTGGCAAAACGTCAGTGTAATTACATAGACGGCTTTCCCTCCAGAATAAAAAAAAAAGGCTCCCTCATATGCATACAAATATACTTCTTTTTAATAGATTTGAATACAAAATCTTCACACAAAAAAATCACATTTTTTCATCTACACCGGGGTCGATTTACATACACTTCATTTGAGTTGGTGAAACGAGTTGGTGCGCATTATTCTCATGGTGCAGTGTCACTCCCTAATCCTGGGGCCTATAGACCTGCGGGATAAAGCAGCTGTCGAGTCCCATTATGAAGGGGAGTTGGCAGCTTGTCGAGATCCAGGCAGTCAGACGAGGTTCAATGGGGGAAAATCATTAAGTTAACACTTTCCCCTAATGTCTCCATTGTGCCCCCTCAGGCCATTGTCTTAGAGAGCTCAGATATGACGCTTCCCACCGGACTTTATTCTTGAAATGTACGCCGTGAATTCCCATGCTCGGACGAGGCAATGTCCAGTGTGTGTGTGTGTGTGTGTGTGTGTGTGTGTGTGTGTGTGTGTGTGTGTGTGTGTGTGTGTGTGTGTGTGTGTGTGTGTGTATTCTCGGACAAAGACAAGTCATTTGTAGGGTGCTTTTCCCTTTGCTCTACTGTGTAAAACGACCGTTTGGTTATACTGTATGTTAACAATGGCAATTTAAGCATCTATCCTGACAGCTCTACGGAACTAATTTCACTGAACTATAGAAGTTTTGTGTAACTTTTCGAGATGTTTTTGCAACTCATCCAGATGTTATATATTGACGATAACAAATTGTAATTATTATTATTTTCAATGCTCAATGTATTAATTTAAATTGAAATGTGGGACAATTTAGTGAATGGTGTCTAACAGAATTGTGGGCCTTTCTCAGGTCGAATACTGGACATCCCATGCAAAGTGTGTGGTGACCGCAGCTCAGGGAAACACTACGGTGTTTACGCCTGTGACGGCTGCTCGGGATTCTTCAAGAGGAGCATCCGCAGAAACAGGACATACGTCTGTAAATCTGGCTCTCAGGTGAGGCCTCCTACTTTTGTTTTTTCTTTTTAAGTATAACCTTTATCAAGCACATGCTCCTCTAGTCCTCATTTTTACATAGGCCTGTGGAAAAGTGCAAGCTCCGTAAATAAGCAATATTTGATTGTGTTATTTGTGCAACATTTTTGGGGAGAATCAAACAAGTTGTAGATACAAGTATGTCGTGATTTGGGATACATATTCAGTCACGTTCTCTCAGTAATTACTTATTAGCAAGTTACAGTTACTGCACTTGTGCCAAGAGAGATTAGTATTATCAATCTTATAAGTGACACGACGTCGCTAGTCCTCCTCATAAAACAATTACAAGCTTTACGTACGGTTTGCACATTTTACGCGCAGATCCTGCTTTTCCCTTCTGGCGCTGTGTTAAGTCTCCCTTGATGAGCCTAATTGTGTCATGCCTGGACCATTAAGTATTGGGCTAAACACTGCGCTGCTATAATATACCAGGTGTAATCCAATCTAATGTGATGACTCGAAAGCGAGGATTTAGGCAGCAGAGGGCGGGATAGAGTACTTATCCTCCGGATGACGCCGCACTGGAGCCGCAGGGGAGCAGGTCGATAACGACACGATAATAGCACGATCTTTCACCTGGAAATTGGCCTCCCAGGAAGATAATAGCAAGAAGCATTTAGTCGTTTAAGATGATAGAAATAAAACGGAAGTCTCTAACTCTCTTGCTCCCTTTCTCTCCCCCTCTCTCTTTTTGTACAGGGTGGCTGTCCCGTGGACAAAACTCACAGAAACCAGTGCAGAGCGTGCCGGTTGAAAAAGTGTCTCGATGTGAACATGAATAAAGACGGTAAATGGGCTTAATTTAATTATCACTTTGGCCATAGACACGCTATGCAGTGGCGTTCGGGTTGGAGTTTGGAAACGTGTTTTAAGGCTGAAAAGAAGTAACAGGTTGATGATTACCTGCTCTGCAGTAACTTTAAAGGAGTTGTTATTTTATCTCTGTGGGACACTTAGATTACCAATTATTCTTTTATTTTACACAAATAAAATGTGCACATTAACTTCTTAATTTTACGAATGCTTAAAGACTTAAATACAATAAACTATTACGTGCAGTTACTAATAAACAAATGAGATAATTAGCCTCTCACTTGTGCAGAGATCATTCCTTCACTGTGTGTCCCTACTGTCCCGTTTCACAGCCGTTCAACACGAGAGGGGGCCCCGGACGTCTACCATCCGCAAACAGGTCGCCCTATATTTCCGGGGGCACAAAGAGGTAAACGGATCGACCCATTTCCCGGGATCCTCTCTGTCTGGCCCTCCCTTCTTTACCACGGTCACGCAACTGGATCCTCACAACCTGGATATGAGCGCAGCAAACACACCGGAGAGACAGGCCCTGGTGGGTCTGGCACAACCCACTCCGAAGGTATACTTTGGAAAACAATACTTGTTTTTTATTGTTATTATTTTATCTTTAGGATATAATAGCGACCAGTCGTACTTGATTGAGTATTGATGTCATGAGTTTACTGATCTACCCGTGCTTTATTGTGATGTGGGCCATTTTGTAAAGCACTTTGAGCTTCACGTGCTGTATGAAAGGTGCTATATAAATAAAGCTTTATTATTAGCTTTATTATTCCTTAGATTTTGACATTTACAGCATTTCATGTATTTATTTTGTAATCTAGATTAATCTGAATATAGGCTACAATTCATCTAACAGTTACTGATATTCCGTTGATATCTGTATTACAGCCTTCCAAAATGTTATTATAGGATTACAGTTTTTCTCCTTTGGGGTTAGAAGTTGAAATTCTTGCCCCGATTTAGCCCGGTAAGAGCCTCAACTCCGCCTATCAGATTTCTCACTGTAAATCCACCACAAGCAACACTAATAATTATAAAACCAGGTGCTGGGGCTTGGAATTTGACCTTTGCTTGTTACCATTCTGTGAACTGTGTTTCATTATGACATACACCGATACATATAGTGATGATTATTTCTGCCTGCAGTACCCCCATGAAGTCAGTGGCACCCCCATGTACCTCTACGAAGTGGCGACAGAGTCTGTGTGTGAGTCAGCAGCGCGCCTCCTCTTCATGAGCATCAAGTGGGCAAAGAGTGTTCCCGCATTCTCCACCCTTCCTTTATCAGACCAGGTACGCTTTGGAGTACAAATATTACCATACAGAAAACGTACAAGAGTCGATTTGCTCCATGTAACTTGAATCTTTTTTTACTTTAAATGTTGTTAAACTGGTACAATCACGAAAAAAACGAACTCCTCTGTGCGCAATATGGAAAGCAAAAGCAATCGTGTTTTACGTACGAGTTGTATTGCACCAAATAAATAATATTACGACTCACATTCTTGCTTGATTGGAGATACAGTTCAACACTGACATGCTACCTGTTTTTGCAGCTGATTCTGTTGGAGGACGCTTGGAGGGAATTATTTGTTCTGGGCATCGCGCAGTGGGCCATTCCTGTGGACTCCTCTACTCTTCTAGCCGTTTCTGGTACGTATGAGAGCACATCTGAATACAGGCCAATAGCAGGCCTCATGAGCTGCAGATGTAAATGCATGCATATACACAAGTGTTATCAAAATGACAATTTCTCTGTATTTATTTGTAGGAATGAACACCGAAAACACAGAGTCTCAGCGGATGAATAAGATCATTTCTGAGATACAAGCACTTCAAGAGGTGGTCACCCGATTCAGGCACATGCGTCTGGATGCAACAGAGTTCGCCTGTTTGAAATGCATCGTGACTTTTAAAGCCGGTGAGTAGCATTGTCCCAAGGTGTATTTTAAATTGTTCTCATTTAACCTAACGAAGGTCCAAATGGGGGACTAATAACTTTGGTAATACATATGTCGTTATTAAGGATTTTGCTTCTTTCTTATAGTTCCTACGCATGGCAACACTGAGTTAAGAAGTTTCCGCAACGCCAGCGCCATCGCTGCACTACAAGACGAGGCACAGCTCACCCTCAACAGTTACATACACACCAGGTAAGAACCAATTATTTACCCCTCTTTTTATCTTCTCCAATCCTTCCATCCCTCTGTCATGTTTCACGCCTATAAGTCGAGCCGTGTCGTGCAGATAACCATTAGCCAGCTTCATTATAAAGTTAATGAGGCAATAAGCCACTGTATCATCCTGTAATTGAGCGCAGGTGCGCTTTTAATTAGCAGCTATTCAAATCACAGGTGTGCGTTAATTGGCCAGGCAGCGTCAGACATTGAGCACAGAGAACCGGAGAGAGAGCGGCTGTTTTTGACCCCAGTGATGTGTTTCAGGTACCCGACCCAGCCGTGTCGCTTCGGGAAGCTGCTTCTGCTCTTGCCGGCTCTCCGCTCGGTGGGCCCGTCCACCATCGAGGAGGTGTTCTTCAAGAAGACCATCGGCAACGTGCCCATCACCCGGCTCCTCTCCGACATGTACAAGTCCAGCGATATATGAATTCTCGCCACCTGGAAAAAATACTTGAGCTAAAAAGGCCCAGAGAGACCCACCAGCAGGCGACAGAAATCCAATCATAGCAGGTGTAACCGTGGGTTGAATTATTGCTGAGCACACAATCTCTTAGGCCGTCTTAAAATAGCCTGTTTAGGCTTATAGGCTCCTTTGAAACAAAGACTGCAACACAGCCGGAACTCACTAAGTAGCCTGTTAACAGTTGCTCTAGTTAAGAATTAGCCAGTAACTTTCATTGTAGAATTACCTGTTTGATACTGCAGCCTGCAGTGTTCAAGACTCCGGAGGAAGAGCACCTGCCAAGTACTGACAAAGAAATATTATATATAAAGACGTTTTTTGAGTGTCTGTGAGACCAATGAGCTTGATGACCAATTCAGTATTTTATTGCTGTGATCAATCCCAATGGAGGAAACCAAAAAATAAAATACAAAAATAAAATGAAGCATGTGAATCGCTGTCCCTCCGATCTGGTGCTGAAACCAAACGCATGGTGGAAGAGGCGCCAACTCTATGAAGACATAGGGGGAAAAGACTTTTGAAGGATATGCTTGCATTGCCTCTCGACTGTAAAACTACATTCATCTGAAGATGGTGTTTGTATTTAAGTGGTTACTGTCCTGTTTGTGTTGCGGTGTCCTGTTTGAGGCTGTTTTAGGTCCACTTTGTGAAGTTAGGCACTAACACTGGATACAATAATATTCAGCACTTGGAAATGTTTTTGTGGACTGTGATGTTTTTATTCTGCTGTAAATATTTGGAGTTATAACTATTTAGAGTTGTAACCGAGAGAATAAAAGACAATTAATTAAACTGCTTTTAAATAACCCAGATATTAAACTACTGGCGAAGGTCTTCTTAGATCTAAATGTGAAGTACATTTACAGATATTTTAAGATTTAAGGGGGAAACAAAATACATGCATTTACGTATTAAACACATGCACAAGTAATGAATAACTTCTTCAAGACTCATAATGAATGACAGTTTGTGATTTGTTCGCACTTTATGGATGATTAAATCAGGATTGTTCAGTAAAAATAAGTTGAATCATTAATTTATATGCAACTAACTTAGCTAAAATCCAGTTGGATAAAAAACAACGTGGCATTTCAGATCCATCAGCTCATTTGTCCAGCTTCTAATCCAAACATTTATTTATAATCAAACTGCAAGTCAGATGCAAACATTCAAAACTGCTGCTTTAAGGTGGCAAATAAATAAAGTGACAACTGTGTAAATAAGACAACATAAATGTTTGTGATTACTTTGACACTACTATTTTAAGTTATCGGGATGACATGTCCCTTCAATTAAAGCAATGTTGTGATACTTCTTTACCAAAAAAAGAGTTCATGAAAATTTACTAAAAGTTTGAATAATAAAGAAATGCCTTTTTTATGTAACTGGATGGAGCGTAAACAGATCGCATAAAGCCTGACTTGATCATCATGATATACCCTGTATGAAATAATCAGGAGTCAGCCATTGTGTATGCATTACTTTGGCCTTTCGAGGTAGTATTTTTCAAATAAAAACTCAGGACGGTTGCATTAAGCTTTGATTTGCCAAAGGCCTAAACTTTTTTTGTAATGAAATGAACAGGTTATGTATTTATTGAATAAGTGCTGTAATAAAACATTTAGGATAATTGTTGTGGCAACTCGCAGCAGACTATCCAATGTGGAGTGTGAGAGAGGTCAACCGTCCAAATCAACAAATGTATGCGTGTGTGGAGACATTTCACCTATTTTATTGGAAAATCTTCAAAATAAACAAAAATGGCACAGCAGTATACAAATCTCAAAATGCATATAGCCAGTAGAAATACTGCAGTTCCCTCTGTGTAAATTACTTCTTTCTTATTAGAAAATCATTGTGATAACTGGTCAGGTGCTGGTTGGTACACACAGGTGCTTCCTTTTGAAGAGGATCAACTGAGTGTGATTTAAAAGTTGAGGCCCATCAAATATATGTGTGTGTGTGTGTGTGTGTGTGTGTGTGTGTGTGTGTGTGTGTGTGTGTGTGTGTGTGTGTGTGTGTGTGTGTGTGTGTGTGTGTGTGTGTGTGTGTGTGTGTGTGTGTGTAGTTGCCAGTTATGGTGTGCAACATACCAGCATTGGATATATATATGATGGGAAACGCTGTGTGTCTTTACAAGAGCTTTGCATACATAGAATGCTCATTCAATGTAACTATATACATGAATATATTCAAGACATAGCTAAATGATAAATACATTATATATCCATGTTAGTGGCATTTCCAGACATAAAGAGAAATTACTATAAATTACCTTCAATCACAGAAATGTCGAACATTCTTGACTCCAATTAGAAAGTGAAAAAACATAGATCATTGTCACTAATTAAACTAAAAGAGGCAGTGAACGTTATTACTTTGGGGGGGGGAGCGTGTGGAGGAAAAGTGGAAATGTTTATTGTCTGAGAGAAACCTGGAGCAGTGAAGAGAGCTTTGGACAGTCGGGCTGAGCAGCGCAGAGCCATCTTTTCTCTCAGGCTTGTCTGATTTTGGATGGGGTGTAGCTCTTGTCCAAAGACTCGTCCTGTAGAAACATGTGCAGGCAGCGTTCGTTCTGAGCTAGAGGATGACCCGCCACTCTGAAACACACAAGAGCAAAAAGGCAGGTTTGAAACCCGAGTGCCTGTTCAAAGATGGGACTTGGTGACAGGAATGTACCATTGGACATAAAGACACACATTAATGGGGCAGAGATTTACGAGAGCGTGGGACTTACCTTAAGGTGAGAAGTCTGGAAAAGATTTAACATGAATGACCAAAAGAATAGGGAAACATTTCTTAATCATCAGTTAACAGTTTTACTATCTGAACGGTCAGGAGTTTCCACCTCCGTAAGTGTTTTCAAATAACTGATGAATTAGCTTAAGTGTTGGTATCCCTGATGTGAATGGAGGCAGCAGCAATAACTATTTAAAATACAAATCTATACCTATTTAAAAGGGGAGCTATTATGCAAAATCAACTTGTTCATGTCTTTTATACATCAACATGTGTCCCCTCTGTGTAAAGAGATTCTGAAAGTTTCAGGAAAAAGATTCGCTCCCCCCCCCTTATCACCTGAATCTCCTCCTAGAGCACCATTGTGTTCTTTTTAACCAAGTATCTCTCAGAGGGGCGTGGGGAGGGGCTCCTTGTTTTCATCTAAAGTAACAGACAGAGAATCAGCACTTTGGAAACAGGGCTGAAGCAGAGGGGATTATGGGATGCTGCAATGATCTGTTTGGTGTTTCGAGCCAAACACATCAGAGACATGTTTTGTATTTATCTGAGACCTATAACATATTGATGAAAAACAGTATAATAGGGGACCTTTAAGTGAACGCTATATTTTAAAATATTTTCCCTGCCTTACCTTGCTGTCAGAAATCTCTTTCAGGCGGGAACTTGAGTTGTGATGTGTGCTCTCTTCAAAGCCACCAGACTCCATTGACAAACACATGTATTTGTCTCTGCAGAGAACGGGAGTTGCTGGTCTACAGCTTCTTGTGTTACCTTGATGAATCCAAAGTCACACAACAACACAAACTAACTAATCGATTGAGGCAGCGGTTGAACTACGGTTTCCACCGTGGTACAATGAACCAATATTGATTTTTTTTTTTTTTTAAAGGCAGGCCTTTCTTTAAGGTGGCTAAAAGATATTTGCTGATGCCTTAGTCCATAGCAATACATTGCTTTGCTAACGTGTCATACATTCGGTCTTCTTGTGCCGACTGCTATCCACTGCAGGTAACGCACTGACTTTGGATAAGAACCAACCCTATGATGCTGATCAAATCTAGACTCAGTCACTCAGTCAGTCACATAACATGATTAGTTTTCTCCTCTTCTCCAAGCCATATAAAGGGAAAGAAAGAAAGACTAGCAGAGGAGAAAGACCAATCATCCCAGGTAGATGATACATAAGAGCCCTCTATAAGAGCTTCAACCCATAAACGAGATACTCCACTACCATGTGGAATGACAGTTGGCAGGAGATAGTGTGAAAGTGTTGTTTAAAAGACAACTTGAAATACATCAGATTTTTCTTTGGTGAATCTGGTTTCCACACATCTATCCTTTCTATTATTATTATTAACTTCTGCAGGAGGTTATAGATTAGGTCATATGAACGAGCATCTCTGTATTTGTCCAGGGTTCATTTTCAAACTTCCAATCAGCCTAAAAAATGTGCTCATTTATGATTGTATGCTTAAGGATTTGTCATGGCTGGGATTATTTTTGAGAAAGCTATTCCATTGACGGTTTTAGGAGCTCCTTGACTACTGACTATTTTGAATCGTTGGGTAGGGGCTTCTGCTTTGGTTTGGACTGCTTTGGAACAGTTTACAGGACTATTACAGCTAACAGAGCTAACAGCTAAGGGCAGTTAGCACACACAGGACTACCTGTTTCAGTTCAGAGGAGGCGAGCAGTCAACATTAAGTCTTACACAGTAAACCGTGTTTAATTTGACAACGCCATTGGCTGAGTATCTCCCCAGATGTTTTAGAGAGGCTACCAGTCATCTAATTTAGCCAATTTACTGGTATGCCTATGAAGAATGAAATTGGCAGAGCTTGCATATTTTCCCATTTTACTTACTTAAGGGTATATTTCGACCAAACAATAGTTTATGATTGTCAAAACAGAAGAAATACCTTACCAAGAGTGAGTTTAAATTAGGATTGGACGAAATAAACGAGGTGTGTTTTAAGGTTAATAAACAAGGCAATTTAGATGGTTTGAGTTGAGAGAATAATTCCTCTCTTGACCTTTTGTGAGCTTAATCTCTTTATTCAGTAAAACAAAGTAGATGACTCGCTGCTCGGAACAGAAGTTCTGTCGTCCAACACATAGACCTATTCAAAAAATGATAGGATACAGCTGTTGATTTAGATATGTTCTAGATGATTTTAAAACCAATTCTGTTAACCCTTCTAAATACTGTATGTTTGATGACTGCATGTTCCCGTTAAAGCCACTTTGACATCAGATTTACCTTCAGTTGAACCAAAAGAAGCTTAATGAGAATGAGCCAGTGCACCTGAGACCCCAAAAAACATTTCTGAGAAAAGATCAACATGATGAAATCATACGTATGCATGCGTCATAAACCCTTACTGGAAATATTTAGAAAAATAGAGCGGCCCGGGGTATTCATTCAAATGCAAGGACAATCAAAGCAGAGATCGTGCCTGCTCCCCAACATAGCCTGTTTAATAGCTTTTGGAAATTGAGATGATGACATGGAGGACAAGGTGCAGCTGAAGCATGCTCAAATGTCAAGGCCTGGCTTGCTTTTTGAAGCCATTCGTCTTTACCTGAAGCATGAATTATGTTTGACTAGCCTAATCAAAAGCTAATGGTTATCTCCTCTCCTCCCTCTCAATGTTCCACGGCGACAATCATGTTTACCATGCCAAGAGATTTCCTCTTCACAATGCTCTCAATCACAGCTTCAACAATGCTGCCAGCCACACGGGCCAGTATTAAGTGTGAACAATGATATGATCAACAGGAGTGCTTCATTCATACGAAGCAAAGGGGGGGGGGGGTCTTAATTACCAACACATTCATCTTCTTTAAAAAACATATTTATGGATTTAAATTTTCTCAACTGTCTTTGAGCACTTAATATTCAAAAAGGAAACATTGATGCATTTGCACATGAAACAAAGATAATGGCCAAGTCTGCAATCAAAGCAAATCATTACAATCACGCTGTAACTTTTATTGTTCCGCAGCTGAAAACGAGGATGCTGGATCAAAAATAAGCAGAGGTGCACACACGATCCCGCGGAACAACGCGCTGTAATTTGAGCTGCAATTATCATAAATTACACATCAACAATAAAACAAATGTGGGGAAAATGATGTTGTGGGGGTGCACACTTAAGTCCTCTTTGGTTGTTCTTGTCTTTTGAAAAGTAATTATAAAAAGAGAATTAAGGAGGATGGAGAGGAAAAAGACCCGTCTGTCTGCAGGTTCAGTTTGTTAACAATATGAAGAGAAGTGAAAAAGTTGAATCTACTTATTGCACAAACTCTTTTGTTGTTCGCAAGAGTTACCATAATACCCCGCTAAGGCAGGAGCAGCAAACGATGAAGGGGAATTTGTAAAGAATAAATTGTTTTAACCTCTTGCAAAGAGGGATGGAGGAAGACATGGTGAGACTTACTTGTTGAGAAACTGCTCCAGAGACTGTCTCCGCTCCTCGATAAAAGAGTCATCAAATATCCCATCATCCCCTCGAAACGGAAGCTGCCGGAACAGAGCTTTTCCTGGGAGAGGAGGGACGACCACCTGAAGTATAAGAGTAACCACAACAAAAAGAATCATACAGCAGCACTTAAATGGACTTATAGGACACTTTAAGTTCACTTTGTGTTTTAAGCTTGGGAGGAACTGACACATTTGCAGGAATGAGTTTTCAATGAAAGAAGCTAACAGTAAGCTCCACATTTTTTTATTAAAGTGGACCTATCATGCTATATTTGAATAATATAGTGTAGGACCATACCTATATAAGGCATATTTATACTTTTTATTTTTCAAAATACCAAACAGATCATGCATTTTAGCCATTCCTCATTTCGCTCAATTTAACACTGTCTTTTCATGGGCTGATTATGTGAGAACAGCACCATCTACAGGTCTGGCATATGTACTACAGCGTCTCCAGCGCTTTCGAACGGCAATGTCCGTGGCTGTCTCCTCCTGATTGGTGGAGTTGGCCCAATAGCCGTAGTGTCACTTCTGTGACGTCATAGAAGTGTTCAAATCTGGATCAGTCTGTATCAGATCCGTTGCAGCCCCTTTTTAAGAGATTTGACACAACCCTCTCTATTTTCCTCCATACCCAAATCTCTTAAAAAGGGGCTGCAACGGATCTGATACAGACTGATCCAGATTTGAACACTTCTATGACGTCACAGAAGTGACACTACGGCTATTGGGCCANCCGAAGTAAAAACAATAAGTGTGGCTTGATATTGAGTAAGAAAAAGGTTGATAAACGCTGTGAGAATGGGTCTGCAGAGAGAATTTCGCCGCGATCCCAACTGTCTGTTATCAGCCTGCAGCCAGGGAGGAGAGATCAGCAGAGCTGCCTGCACTGAGTGAGTGTGTGTGTGAGGAAGTCCGTGGATTGGTCAATTTGGACCAATCAGCGGGGGCTTAACGTAACGGCTCCGCGGACGTAACGTAACGGTTCCACGGATTGGTCCATTTCGTTCCGGGTACGGTTGACATCATGCGTACCCGGAAGAATCAAATGGACAGTGACGTCCTCCAACGAGGCGTTTTGGGGAGGTATTTTCTGTGTTAGAGTTTTACTCGCTACAGGGTGTACTTTGAGGGTTTTGACTCTGCAGACCGTTTACATGCATAAAGACCTTCATAACACAGAAGGGGACGGGTAATAACCGGAAAAGCATGACATGGGACCTTTAATAGAAACTGTGTGTGACGTGGATATTTGATTAAAAAGATCTGTGTATCAAATACATTGACAACAGAGTGACATACATTAGGGTTCTATTTCAATTATTTCCAATTGTAACATTTTAGTTTTAACGCCAAATATGAAATCGGCAGCTCTCACCGCTATTTATAAAAATTTGATCAAACAAAAATTTGCCCCTACCAACCAAATGTTGGCAGGATCTATAATGTTTTACTGAAGGGTGGATGGAGCAGAGGGGGAAGACAACCAATGCTTCGGTTTCCCCCATTGAAACACCACAAGAGGAGTCTCAAGGGCAGAAAATCTGACTTATTATCACGGAGCAAGAGACATAAAGAGGGAAAAGACTGAAAGGGAGAGACCATGAGAGCAAAAAGACCACTCCTGCTCTCCCTCCTCCTCAATTAGTCCTGCACAGACCAGATGAAGCTCACAACCCCTCCAGTTTTTTTCTGCTCTTCCTTTATGACCGCCTACACCCCCTCTGTGTTCTTTTGTTCAGCCATTTACTCAGCCTTCTAGTTAACTCTCCATCCCCTCTACTGCGCACAGTCGTCTGCTCATCGATCAGTCTGCAGCTCACACTGTATTCCTGCTGCACCTACTTGTTCAAATGCTTTGCTCTTGTGATGACTATTTCCATGAATTCTGACCTTCTGTGAATGTGGCCTGCCAATGAAATGCTTATTCACTCCCTCCTTGTTCGTACATTGTCACAGGATGGCCATGTACTGTCAGGACTAGTGAAGAGGTTTGGCATTGTGCTGTCATTTGCTGTTTGCTTAATGTTCTGTCAATGTCAAAACATCTCTACTTTTTTTTAAATTTATATAAAAATAAATTCTCAAGTGTTTCAACTGCGACTAAGAATGATGCACCTATCTGCGCATGGGTGTACAAAATAGACAAAATGGCCATACACTCTGAGTGCGATTGACCTCGGTGAGCGTAACATAGGTGAACTTTCCATTTTGCTTTTCAGTTTGGTGAAGGAGTCTTTGTTTTTTTGTTTCTTTTCTCCTCCTTTTCTTCCTTTCAATGAAGTCAGAGTAGCTAACACAAGGTTACAGCCCAAACCCAGTGCAATAACGCCTTTCACTCTTTCTCAGCATAAAGTTTTCTCTAGATTTCGAATGATAATTTTCCACCTTTTGATACAGATAAGTGCTCCTCAGAACCTGCCTGTGAAGAACGCGCTCGCTTTGGTGTTACTACTCAAACTAAATCACTCAAAGGAACAACCTTACACTCAACACTGCGCTTCCTTCAGTCCTTTACAATACACCCGCCATCATATACTTACATCCCCAAGCGGTACATGCCTTATATTCAGAGCGTTATCCATCATCCCGTTCAGCAGAGTAACAGTTCATAAGGTATCGAGCAACAGAGAATGGTATGTTTTCATATTTTCTGATTTCTTTCTTTCTGATTGGTCCAAATGTGAATAGTAACTAACAGTTGAGCTCATAAATCCAGTATAGTATATTGAAAAGGAGAGTAAACACCCTTTATGTTGCTTACTGGAATAGAAGCACTGGCTTGATATGGTGTCAGGAATAAGGACAATCTGCACACAATCCTTAAAGTGACATCCTTTAACAGTTTGCCATTTGTGTGTTTGTACCCACAGACCAACCTACCCATCTTCAAGCTGAAGGAGTCGAGCGTACGGAGGCGGTACAGCGACTTTGAGTGGCTCAGAACGGAGCTGGAGAGGGAAAGCAAGGTGAGCCATTGAGGTGAACTCAACACAAAGGCGCTTGAGTACTTATCTTATCAAATCAGCACACAACAATGATCACGTGCCATGTTTTTGTATGGGAGAGAAAGTTGTGAAGTGATCTTTTGAGCCTTTGCTGTTTGTTAAAGAAGATGTAACCTTAATGTGGTCTGGGTTCTTTGTCTCCTGCTGTCATTGAAGGCCACAAATCCAGTTTAGAGCCTCAGAAAAGGCATGTCAAAATGTCCTCACCAAATCATACTCTTCACAATCTTTATAACTTTTAGAATATTCAAGTGAGGAATAATGTTTTATTTTTAATTATATTCTTTTGAAATTCTCTTCACATACAGACAGCCTTCAATAAATCAAATTATCGGCCAAAAAAAGAAATCTGTAGCTGATGCAAGACAAAAATAAGTAGGTGGTGAAAATCAGCGGTATAAATAGTAGTCTCTTCCGAGTTAACCTTTACGACAACCTTTTTTAATCATTTCTCATTGAACAGATTTGAAGGACGGATTTGACGGACTGACCTGTGTGTACTCTACCAGAGTTTTTATCATGCCGCTAGCTTGAAAGCTGTAATTACATCAGCCATTAACATGTTCATTTTGAGGTAGTGACTTTTGCAGGGCCAAAGGAAAAGGCTATCATTGTTGCCAACTGGCGACTTTCTCGTTTAAAGGTGACCTATCATGCAAAATGCACTTTTGTACGTCTTTTATACATGGGCTTATTTTAACAATGTGTTCACATATTATTGCAGATCTGCTTTAAAAGTGGGGTATGTCATTTATTTCAGAAACACTTTCTGGTTCATTTCTAGTTGTGAGTGTGTCTGGGCTCCTGAACCAGCCTCTCCTGTCTCCCTCCTTCTCCTCTTTGAGGCAGAAGCAAAGACTAGTTTTAGCTCACAACAAGTTTTAATAGTTTATCTTAACTTAGTTTTT